TGGTTCTCGAGTTAGCGATTTTCCCGCCAAAACTTTGAGGCGCTCGTACGCGGGGCCCAGACGTGCCTGAAGGTTGGTACCGCCGCCCTGGAATGGCACTTGGCCGGGGAACCCAATCGCAAAATTTTGGCGCCGGAGCTTGCTTGAGTGCCGAGTTAAAATACCCGGATACACACACACACATACACACACACACACGATATACACACACACACACACACCGGGATCGTCACAATACACGTTTTTGCATATATGCAAAAACGCATAATAAGCATATTTTATTCCATTATAAACGTCAACCGTTCTTCATACGTTACAGAAGTAGAAATGCATTAAATTTCACAAAAATGACTTCTAACAATTGTTTACAGTCATATACTTTCCCTGTATGAGAATCGGAAGTATTCGAAAGTAGCAGGAGTGGCAGCAAGTGCAAACAACAACCGCACGTTGGCTGCTTCTTACAAGAGTCGCTTACATGCAGGTTGATGGTGAGTTTAATCTACCGACGCGCAATCACTGGTATCAGTTCACCATCGAAACGAATGAAGAAATCGTAAAAGGGCTAGCACTCCTTTCCACTACGCAGTGCCCGCCTCGAATAATTTGATCAATTTTAAATAACATCACAAGTTATATTTTCCAGGGAACTATGGCATCGAAATTCCGCAATTCTGGACAAACATGTATCTGTGCAAATCGCATTTATGTACATTCCTGGATTCACGATTCGTATGTGGACAGTTTGAAGAGCGAGATCTCAAAGCTGGTGGTGGGCGACGGCATGAAACCTGGGGTTACCCAGGGACCACTGATCAATGAGCAAGCTGTTCAAAAAGTTTGTCCGACTCGAAAGCTAGATACTGCTTTTTGAAGAAATGAAATGTGCAATAGATTTTTTGAAATAAAATTTGAAATTTGTTTTGGTTTCGAAATACGGGAACCCTTAAATATCGTGCCGTGTCTTTTGAAGGTGGAAGGATTGGTCGCTGATGCACTGCAAAAGGGCGCACGAATAGTTACGGGTGGAAAACGAGTTCCCGGTACAACGTGCTACGAGCCAACATTGCTTACAGGAGTTACGCAAGATATGGATATCACTCGTACTGAAATATTCGGGCCCGTTGTACCCGTTCAGAAGTTCGTCACTTTAATTAATTTGAATAATTTGAAAATTTGCGCGATTTCGAGATGATTTTGTAAAAAGTGACAATTTTGAGGCATATGATGGTAAAAAAGGAGCTCTTGGAAAAATCAAGCAGCTGCATTTTATTCACAAAAATTTTATCAATTCATAAAAACTCCTAAAAGTTGAGTAACAATTTTTTCAAATTCTTTCAAAAATTCTAGAAAAAATTTTCAAATTTTCTCAGTGCTTAGATAATAAGAGTTTGTCAAAAAAAAAAATGGAATTTCAGATTCGAAACCGAAGACGAGGTACTGAATCTGGCAAATCAGGGCAGAACTGGCTTAGCTGGTCAGTGTGCTTTTCAAACTTCTAGCCTATTCTACGTAATTTTTACAGAGTATATCCATGCACTTGCTCTCGTCTAGGTGAACCTTACATTTCTGAGGCATTCTCCCATTGGCGTGAGTAACATCATTTGAGCACCGCTCTATGGCCCGTTTCTGCTCTCTGTTTTTATGCACTTTTTGCAGCAGTGCAGTGCGAAAAACGCATATTGACGAGAGGTTGTCTGTGTGTGTGTTTGTTTGTGTGTGTGTCTGTGTGT